GGGGGGGTTAAAAAAAAAAACACAGAAAACCAGAGAATATGCAGTACACCGTGCATTCGAATCTACATTGATCCCACAAACAAAGGGGAAATACAAGACTGTGGCATAATCCCCATAAGACATCAACCATCGGAACATGGCTTCCCATTCCTGACAACAAACACAGAGAAACAGAAACCCAAGGCATGTGCGGTATGTCCAAGCCATCACACTCGTCATTTAGACGGGGCTTATTTGCCCTTTGAGATTCTGCAGCTTCCTAAAGAAGCGAAACATACCAACTGCCCTAGTTCAGTTGGTACACCCATGAGCAGTTGAAATACAGACCTGAGTTTTTTGTTCTTGTTTTGGCCCCTCTTCGGAGCGAAGGGCCGTAAAAATAAAAAATAAAAAAAAAAAAAGATGGCGTAGGTTGCTTAATGTGCTCACGCCGCGGTGCTCTTTAGTAAAAGGCAAGAGAATATTACGCCATCTGAAAGACAGACCTGAGTTCGAACCCTGATGGAACCAGATGAACGAAATCACTAATTCTGAATTACCTGGGCCTGGCCAGTCCAACAGTAATATTTCAAGGTCGTCGCCCTGTAAAGATTATAAAAATAAAAGGGAAGCGAAACATACCTACCTCTCAATACCACAGATGAACGGACAACAACGCGGGTTCTGACTTATTTCAGTTCCTTTTCAAGGTATATATAAGTGGCATGTCAGTCAATGCACAAACACACCATCCACAAAAACGCAGAGGAGCTACAGAGAGAGGCTGCCTCCATTGCAACTCAACCGGCCACTGAAAGACACCAGAACTCCAACTGAGCACAGCAGAAAGGTTGCCAGGACTGAGCCCTCACAGGGCCCCGACAGACGTGCAAGTGTTCTAGGCTGGGGGGGGCCAGCAAGCATTGTGCCCGCCCTAAGTGAAGGCGGGCCTGAATATCCACCAGAGGCCTGTTTGCAACATTTTCCATATGTGGGTACTCGGACAGTTGCAGCACGCCAGTTGGTTACAGGGAAACGTGAGCCTCCAGGCTCTTTCCAGCAACAAGGGCTGCGCTGCATAGTTGAGCCCAGGGCCGGGTGGTTGCGTCCTGGGCACACGCAGTGTGAGGCCAACACATCACGCAGCGGCCACGGACAAATGAGAAAGCAGCATTGTGGTCACAGTCTCCGTGAGCCAATGAGAATGTGGCCAACACTTGAAGCCTGGACGGCTACCTGTAGTTGCGCAACCGAACAGAGCCCAGGCCCTTAACTGTAGAAGCGGGCCTGGGCACAGATACTGGGGCCCGACTGGAAGCTACTGGAAACTTCCCCAGCCAGGCCCACGCAGACACAGCAGGGGCTGCGGTTTCCATAGGGGAAAGAGGCCAGCCCAGGGCAGGACATTCTGGCCTAGGCAGGCAATGCAGACACGCTGCTGGTCAGACGCACGCACGGCCGCAGTGGTGAGAGGGGCGCTGCTGAGGCAGCAGGCGCACAGCAGTCATAGCCGGGCAGCTCGGGCGCAGGCAGGCGATGGCGAAAGTGGTCTTCGGGTAGGAGGCGCATGATGTGGGGAGACGAGGGGTGATGACGAGAGGAGAGAGAACCTACCTGGTGTATGCTGGTGATCGGCATTGGTGTTGACGTCACGTACATCGGTCTTTGACTTCAGAGTGCTCCAGTTGCGAGAACGTAGATAGCCTGGATAGGCTGAGTAGGATAGGCTGGGCGCTGGGCGCCAGACAGCAAGTGCGCCACATTGGGTACAGTGTTGGTGCGACCGGAGAGTGGCAACATTGGCATTCGAGTTCATTGTATTGCTCTTATTTGGACGGCATCTTGGTGCATTGCACTCCCTGCTTGGTTCATGACTATCTGAGCTACTTCGTGATTTTGCAACTTGGATTCCTGTCTATCGCTCTCGTTCATATTCCTTGCAAGGTTGTCAGATCAGTGAACATCACAAACGGATGAGACCCGCTCTCTCGAGCAACAGATGTCAAGCTACATCTCCTGGGGGAAAAAAAGGGATGCACAGGTGCTTCCGTGATTGCCAGCCTCCCAGGGAAAAAGAATGGCCACGACATCAACTCAACATTAGCAGAACATACAGCACAACATTAGTAGAACAGCAGAAAAGACAGTTTTTTTTGGACGGGAGACAAAACGTCAAAAAATTCCGCACAGCGTAGAGCGAGCACAGGAGGAGGACAGGCATCGTGTTACGGGACACATGGAACAAGAGACAAGCCAAGCAGCCACACGCAGGCACGGGTCTAAATGAAGGGGAAGAGCGAGATGACTCTGATTCAAGTTAGAAAAGAGAAGAGCAATCAAATGGTCCAAGTCTGCAGCGCAGATAAACGAAGCTCTCTCGCTCGCAAACACTAGCAAAACAAGCAAAGTTTTGCCAATTCAAACGTTAGTTGAAGGACAACCATCAACCTTAAAAGGCCATGGAAACCAATCAACAGCTAGATGCCAGTAGAAGTCGGTGGAGTCAAAAAAAAAAAAAAAAAAAAAAGAAGAAGAAGAAGAAGAAGTCGGTGGAGTCCATCGGTACAACGAGCGGGAACCTCAAAATTGAAGATCTTGCGTCGTATGGTTAGCACCTTCTGCCGCCATGGAGGGGAGCTGAGCATCAAGCCGATGTGCCCAAAAGACAACACCATACAAAGGCTGCGGTGACGAGGACATAGACATGCTGCTCAGTAGCAGGCACAGCAGAGGTTAGAGAGATCCTTAACAAAATTAATTGATATCCCCTCAGCACACGATGATACTCAATTGCCGCACGTCAATCCGCAAACCACCCAAGCGAGGTTCCAAAGGCGGACATCAACAAATGCCCACAGCTCATACCCCAAGCTGGGCACGGGTACCTGTGACAAATCAAAGCAGACTATCACCCACCCACACAGAGCTACAACCTTCGAGCGCCTTCGCAAAAGAGAGAGAGTTACAGACGCAGAAGAACAGAGACATAGGCACAGCCCACCCTTGGCTTTTCTGTCTTTTTTACTTGCCCACAAGGTGCAACCTGGTTGCCCATGTTTGCCTAGTTGAGCCGGGGTGCAAGGTTGCCCATGTCTGCGTCCGTGGGCAGCAGATGGCTAAGCAGACCCCGTAACTTCCAGTGTTTTTTCATGCCTTTTTTTCAAGTTTTTTATAACAAAAGTTCAAAAATCCTTTTAAAACCAAACTTGCCGCAGATCCACAGAGTGGAGACCAAATAAACCAACGGGGCAAAGAAAAAGTCAGCAAAAAAAGAGGCTCAAAACACCAATGCAAAAATAAAATGCTTTTTCATGTAAATTTCACCCTCGGCATTTCCCAGAGATTTCCAGATTTTCAGGCCTTCCCAAAACAGCCATTTCCGAGGCTCCGACAAACACCATGTCTGACACGTACAAACCTCAACCCAAAAACAAATAGAGAAAGGACAAAACACCCCCCCCCCCTCCCCCACACCAAAAAAAGAAACTATAAGAATTGTCTTCAAACGTGTGTTGTCCTCCCGAGATGGAGAGACAGGAAAAGACAGCGAAAAACAACATGAAAATGGGAATACCGTCTTCACCCGAATAGAACGCCCGGTCATTATTGCTGCATCTAGACTGCAAGTCAGACCAAATGCGGCTATAATGACCGCGCGCTCTATTCGGGTGAAGACGGTAGTTGCGCCACTCGCTATCCGCCAAGATACTGGCCAGACGCATTTAAACTGTTGGGGGATGGCGAGCGGTGCAACCAGGGCCAACGTGTGAGAAACGCAGACGCTAGGGGTTAGAGCAGCCTTCCTCTCCCCCCCCCCCCCCCCCCCCCCAAAAAAAAAAAAAAGAAAGGCAGGAGCGAAATGGATGGATGATGCGGATGACGACAAGGCAAACCAAACACAGAAGCTTCAATGAAAGCGGCAGCCATTGCGGAGGCGCAGACGGTGGGTGAGAGCAGCCAAGCCAAGAATCGCCGTGCGTGCAGTGCTGCCGCATGGAAGGGAGTACACATTCTGCAATCCATTATGCAGATGAGCGTGCCATCACCACATGCCGGAAGCCGTCAATACGGGTGATGAGTTGAACCATAGTGCAATTACCCCATAATCATAATAATAATAATAATAAAAATTCCCAGTGCTCGCAAGCCCGGACAAAAGCCCTGTAGAGAGCAGACGTTTACACAATGCAGGTATAGATAGAGATTTCAGGCTGACTGACGAGTGAAGCTCTCCACCACCGTGAGGGCATATTGCGCACCTGGAGTTGGCGGTTCAGCATTGAATAAGTTGCAGGACGCCTCCTGCAATATTATATCATAAATTATTGCCTTGCGGGTGTTGCCAAGCCCGATCATCGCCATGACGGAGCGATCAGATTGCTTTCAAAATATCAAGTCGGCATGCAACGGCCAAGAAATCAGATGGTCGCGAAGCTAAAGGCGGCTCAGGTGCGTTGCAAACGTGTTAGCGGCAAATAGTCCGCAGAGATTCTGGAAAAAAAAATGCACTGCGAACAATCCGGATCAGGTGCGTTATGAATACTTGTTATCCTCGTTGCCACGGTCGCACTCCATTTCTCATCCTCCCGCATCACAGGCATGGCCTTCGCTGCCCGCACCGTTATTCTGCAAGGCATCCATCTGATGTTGCAGTGTCCTGCTCTGTTCCGGAGCGGGCACCAGCCTCATCTGATGTGTAACATGTCCAGCAAGCCCTCATCATCCACGTGTCCTGCAGGAGATGCCCTCACTGCAGACGGGCTCAGGGCCACTGCGACACCAGGTTCCGTTCCAGAAGAGAGTGGAACCGGCAAGGGAGGAGACAACGAGAGAGAACCCTTCTGGGTCCAAGCACCGAGAGGGAACGACGGTAGTTCAGGCGTTGCAGATGTGCAGGAGAGGACGGCAGTGAAGACGTGGCGAAGTTTCCCAAGAACTCGACGCACCGGTGAGAGAGGAAGGGGAGGGGAGAGGGGGGAGGGAGGAACAGCTGAAGAAGGACCAGAGGGAATGGGTGCACTGCCAGGGGAGGCAGAAGA